TATGTATATATATATATATATATATATATATATACATTTTTTTTTCAATCAGGTGTTTGGAGGGTTGGTGTGGATATTAGTAGCATCGACGAATGTGTCAGTGCCATTGTTGCAGGGTTGGGTGATGTTTGTGTCAGTAACCATGTTCATCTGTTCGTCTGTATATCTTGCCCTGTTTCTGCTGGGCCTGGCAGACAAGATTAACACTGACTGGAATTTCATGGTGAGTGTGTATGACTTTACAAATGCACAGTGCTAAGACTAATTTTAAAACATTCATAGAGTGGACACTTTAGTGTAGATTATTGGCCACTAATTGCCAGGACAGTCATGCAGGTACAGTTTACGGTTAAGCACCTAGCTCAAGGTCACAGGGCTGGTAGAGCAGGAAATACCAGTGCTTGCAATACAGTTTTTAAAGTTAAATTTTTACATAGGTTGGAGGATTTGCATTTGTTAAAGATCATTTTATATCCCAGGAGGTCATTATTAATATATTTTTTAAATGAACAGATCTTTATTTTTGTAATATGAAGGTCACTTTTTACCCAAATTCGAAACGATACCTTTTACTATGCCTGCATTGTTTATTTTTCTTTTTAAATTGCATTTTATGTACATATTGTTTTATAGATCCTGATTCTGTCGAAGAACTTGAAGTTTTATATTAAATATGAAAATTCATTTTAAATCCATTACATATATTACAACCAGCGTTAGTGTTTAAATAGGTATTACACTACATTAAAATGGTGGTTTCATCACTGCACTGGTTTGTGGAGTAATTTCCACTACACCTATTAAAGTTAATGTAATTGTTTAAATAGACAAATCAGTCAATGAAACATCACATTAGACACACTTTGTCAGTGCCCACACATGGTCACATACACACACACACACACACACACACACACACATATATATATATATATATTTATTTATTTATTTTCACACAGTGGCTTTTGTGCCACCTTTCATTTAATAATTTTTTTTTTTAAATATATAATTAAAAACAAAACCAGAACAAACATAATTCAGAAAACAAGTACTGGCATAACTGATAACAGTTTTTGAAAGATGAACAATGTAAATCAGTAGGGCATTTTCAAACTCTAATATACATGAACATTTTCAAGCTGAAGAAACCAAGAAAAGAAGAAAAAAAATAGAAATAGAAATAAGTAGAAATAAACTAAATTGTAGAATATTAGGCCCTTGGCTCAGAACACAATACTTGGTGTCATAGAATAAGCACTGTGCCCATTTTCAGAATTGGGACATTACCGAGTAACGTCTATTCTATAACCATGATTAATGTTCATGGTCTACCACACTCACTTATAAAAACCAATCTGTCAATGTTGTTTAATAACTGAGGTTAATAACAGTGCAGTGATGTAAAAATAGTTGTGTTGCTCATTTTAATCTCTGAATAATTTTAAAACAGCTTTTTACAAGTTTTAAAAGGCTCAACACACACACACACACACACACACACACACACACACACAGTATTGTGCAAAAGTCTTAGGCATATCAGTATTTTCACCAAAAAAGGGTTTACCTGTCACCCCCCATTTTTGAACACTGACGTGAAAGTGCACTATCCAAACTTAAATTATTATAATTCATGAACGCTTTTGAATACAGACCTAAGGGGGGTCTCTTTTTAAAGGGGTCATATGATGCGATTAAAATTTTTCCTTTCTCTTTGAAGTGTTACAAGCTCTTGGTGCATAAAGAAGATCTGTAAAATTGCAAAGACTAAAGTCTCAAATCCAAATAGATATTCTTTATAAAAGTTAAGTCAACCACGCCTAACTAAAACGGCTTGTTCTAACACGCCCCCACATGTCTACGTCACGATGTGGGAAGATTTGCATAATGCCACCCAAATGTTCACGGAAAGAAAGAAGGCGTAACTTTTATTCTCGCTGTAGTATTGTTGCTGCCGCCATGTCGTGAAGGTGCTGTGTGTTTCGTTGTGAAAGCGAAACTACTTTGTTTGGCCTTCCAAAAGAGGACGATATCCGCTTCGTCATGCCTAGAGCTGATCCCTGCTGGTCGATGAGGGAATACATCAACTTCGCGCTGCGGATCGCCGAATTTCGTCACATGTGGTTGCCGCAAGCCCACTGGCCGCTCCTTCGTTGAATCCGCCGGCCGTGCCGTTCTCAAGCCCGCCCGCCACCGCTCACTATAGCCCTCCGGCCTCCGCTCACTCTAGGCCACCGGTTTCCGCTCACTCTAGCCCGCCGTGTGTTTCGTTGTGAAAGCAAAACTACTTTGTTTGGTCTTCCAAAAGAGGACACGACTAGAAATCAGTGGTTAAGTTGTATTTACAACACTGTTCCAGAATAGTTCAATCCAAATATTCATTTGCGTGCAGTACATTTTATGGAGGACTGTTTCCTGATCCTGGGAGAGTAGACTACAATGCCAGTTGTTCTGACTCACAGACTGTAAGTACGTTTTCATTTAAAGGATTTGCCACTGATGATTCAAACGCAAGTTTTGAGCAGTTTAGGGCTTGTTTGTCATTTGCAACACAACACGTAAAAAGACAGTATATGTCATTATAATCCGTAATTATGTCCCCACTGGATGCAACAAATGCCTCATTTGTAATAGGTTTTCATGTTTTTGTCTCATTGCTCCGGCCGGACAAGGCATCACAGTATGGTAGGAGCATAACATTTCCGTCACACGCTTGAGATATTCGGCCAATCACAATGCACTGGATAGCTGGCCAACCAGAGCACACCTCGCTTTTCAGACCGATGAGCTTTGTAAAAAACGATGCGTTTCAGAAAGGCGGGGCATAGAGGTGAAACAATAATGTACAGTATGTGGAAAATAATGTGTTTTTTTAACTTTAAACCACATAAACACATTTCATTACACCAAAATAATGTTCTTTTTAGCAACATCATATGACCCCTTTAAAGAAGACAATCAGCAAATTATGGCAGAAGTCATTTTAAAAAATGAAAGTATGAAAAAGTTATAGAAGTTAAAATTTACTGTAAAGAAAATGTACTGTACTTTGTTATTATTTTACATAAAATAAATATGTTACAAAATAGTTTTTTTATAAAATAACCCACAAATATGGTATCATGAGACTCAGACCTTTCCAACGATATGCATATAGGTTTTCATGTTTTTGTCTCATTGCTCCGGCCGGACAAGGCATCACAGTATGGTAGGAGCATAACATTTCCGTCACACGCTTGAGATATTCGGCCAATCACAATGCACTGGATAGCTGGCCAACCAGAGCACACCTCGCTTTTCAGACCGATGAGCTTTGTAAAAAACGATGCGTTTCAGAAAGGCGGGGCATAGAGGTGAAACAATAATGTACAGTATGTGGAAAATAATGTGTTTTTTTAACTTTAAACCACATAAACACATTTCATTACACCAAAATAATGTTCTTTTTAGCAACATCATATGACCCCTTTAAAGAAGACAATCAGCAAATTATGGCAGAAGTCATTTTAAAAAATGAAAGTATGAAAAAGTTATAGAAGTTAAAATTTACTGTAAAGAAAATGTACTGTACTTTGTTATTATTTTACATAAAATAAATATTTTACAAAATAGTTTTTAATCCAGAATTGCTATAAAATTAAAGCCATATGTCTAAGTAAGTTGTGTTCCAAATTTGAAGTTGATATATAAAAAAAGAGGTTCCTATGCAATTTTGATTAGGCGTTTTTATGACTTTTTCTGTCACAATTGTATACATTTCTCTCTCAATATTACATACATCACAAAATAACCCACAAATATGGTATCATGAGACTCAGACCTTTCCAACGATATGCATTTTGTCAAGATTATAAAAAGTTTTGATTCTAAAAGACCGTAATACATTTTGCAATATGACACCCCCAACTAAGGGGGAGAAGGCCTCTAAAAGATTTTGAAGTACCATTTCTATGGTATGTCAATGTCCGATTTTAAAATAGTTTTTACAGGATTAATTTTGAGATTAAAAATAGTTTTTTTATAAAATAACCCACAAATATGGTATCATGAGACTCAGACCTTTCCAACGATATGCATTTTGTCAAGATTATAAAGTTTTGATTCTAAAAGACCGTAATACATTTTGCAATATGACACCCCCAACTAAGGGGGAGAAGGCCTCTAAAAGATTTTGAAGTACCATTTCTATGGTATGTCAATGTCCGATTTTAAAATAGTTTTTACAGGATTAATTTTGAGATTCGTTTTCAAATTATATATAATTTATGATGATTACTAAAACGTGATAGGGAAAAAGGCAATGAAAAAAAGACTTTTTGTGACAAAGGTCATAACTCGTTATGATGGGTTATGATGTAGAGGCGCACTCTTGTCATAAATTAATCTATTACTGTTCCTACATAATTTGTTACAAAAACAGTGAAATATCTATTTAGGAGTGTTAGACCTTTTCAATGATATATAGTTTGTCATGATTAGATTAGGATTTAATTGTAATATAGTGAAGTAAACTTAGGTGACAGTTAAGCCAGTTATTTATCTTGTAGGGCGACAGAAGGAAATAACATTTTACATGTTCAAACATTCATTTTCTCATAATAATCCAGTGAGATTTTTTGTATGCACAAGGAATCTGACAGCAGTCAGTATGCTCCACACATAGATCTGATCTGATCATCACCGAGTCTGCCTGGAATGCCTGGCAACATCTCCAAGATGCTTGAAGAAACCTACCTGCAAAGCTACAGTACTGTGAAAAGTTTTAGGCAAGTTTAAAAATGCTGTAAAGTGAGGATGCTTTAAAATAATGTTATAAATAGATTTTATTAATCAATTAACTTCTATTAACTAAATCAAATTTTGCGTTTAAAACAGGTTATGTCCTAGGTACACTTGAAAATAGTTTTTCAGGTAGCTTTGCAGGTAGGTTTCTTCAAGTATCTTGAAGACGTTGCCACAGTTCTTCTGGAAATTAATTGAATTTATGAGTTTTTAAAAATATAATCTGACATTGTTCCATTGTTTACAGGACATGTTCTATCATTTCATCGCTTTGCTGTTTTATTTTGGTGCATTTTTGCTGGAGGCTACAGTTTCATCTGCGGGTATATATACAAACAGCACCTGTATACGCAGACCCCGTGGCAATATAATAACATTTCTGGACTATAGAGAGTATAACATTAATGCTGCTGCTGCGGTGAGTTGTTAACTACCTTTCTTTTCACTTGGTTTTTCAGTGATTGTAATTTTCAGATTCAAGAACAATTGGAGATTTTTCTTGCACTTCCTACAACAGTTTTTCTGTTATTTGGTATATACAAAGAACACACTGAACACATAATTAGTAAATAAAAAGAAAGATATACATTTACAAAACATAAAATAATACAAATAATTTCAAATATGCAGTAGAACATCCATAACACAATCACATTTTCACAATCATAATATGTATTTTCCACTCTTTCGCTAAAAGTACGCAATTATTTCAGAATATTGTATCATGAAGATTGAAGAATAGTTAATTATTTTCCTACCCTCATGCAATTCCAAACCACTATGCTTGTCCGTACAACAACAATGCATAGTGATTTCATCTGTCTAGCTCCCAAAATGTCAAAAGTAATAAAACACCAAAGCACCATAAATGTATCATTAAAGTAGTCCATATGACTTGCGCAATATATTAAAAGTCCAGTGCACAAGTTGAATGACTTTGTGACACACAGTGCAATCAAGGTATACATTTTTATAGCATGCATGCTGAACCGCAGGAACACTTTTATAAGCAGAAAAGGCTCATGGTATCAGTTGAGCTAGTGTTGCTATCTTTGAGTGGTTGAGAGTAATGGACACACCACAGAGTCAAAATTGTTAGGGGCTACTTATAGCTATCTCTGCATTTTAAGGAGGGGTAGGACAAAACAAGTATTTTATAGTTTATATATTGAAAGTAAATGAATAAATAAATACTGTGATACAAGTGATTAAAATGTTTTTGTTACTCAAGAACAGGCCATTGTTTAGTCCTTGAGTGAAGCACTCTTATATTGTAGTTCCTTCACTTCCATTTACTTTAAAGCTTAAAGGCATCTTAAAGTAGATTATCCAAAAAGGCAGCCTATCCGAAAAGTGATCATTGTATTGTGCTAATGAACATGCAATCAGCTATAAAACTTTACAAGTACAGTTAAGCTCTACTTGTTGCTGAAATGTCTCAGTAATGGAGTTTTATATATATATATA